AAAATTTAATTTGCTAATATAATTCTGTCATTTGTATAAATAAATCAAACCCATCTGCCACCGACGCACTTCTTTTTCACAGAAAAAAAAGGCACAGATACTCGAAAAAAATCCTTGTTACCGGTTCAACTAACGAAATATTAAGCCGCTTACTTTCAAAACTAGTTTATCTCGACGCCTTTGTTCTTCACCGGCCTCTATGCCTTAAAAATCACAGGTCTAACTACATAAATTAGTTTGACTTAGCAACCAAATTAGCCATAACTTACCATAAAACTGTTTAATTCACAAAATCCTGTTTTCCAAACGTAGAGCACACCTTTGCACAGCACAGAACTATTTCGAAACGGTTTTATAAATGGGAACACATGTCAAACTGCCAACGGCTACACATACACTGAGTAAAAACACTATGATTACAAATACTCGAGCATTTTCATTTAAAATATTAAGTTTAAAGAAACTAAACTAAATAAATTAAAAGCTGTTAAGCGAAAGATGTACGCGTGCGCATCGCGTCGCGTCGTATTTTCACTGAATTTGAGTCGAGTAAAAGATATTTTTACCTGCGATGGCAAAAAAAGTTTTGTCCGTTCTTGGAGCTTAATAGATTTACGCAAGCTACTTTAAACCATATTTCTAAACTTTAGAGTATAATTTCATTTGTATTCGGTAAATATCATGAGTGTGCCAATGGTTATTAGTACTGTTGATGGATTTAGACTCTCATGGAATTAAGATAAGGTGTGTTATTGAGTGTTGATGTTAAAAAGCTTAGTCTTGAGTCGTGTGCTCTGTAGATATATTGTGGGCAGTTGGTTCTTAACAATGATTCTTAAAGTTTTGACCCTATGGCCATACAAGCGTTGCAATAATTTAAAATTCTATATTAACATCTAGTGTTTAAGTTATGTTTTCATAACTTTATACATATGTAAGAGCTACAAAATTTGGAATTCTATTTCGAGTGTTAGCTTAACAATGAGTAAGTACAAACCGAAATGGGTCGAATTTACTTGACAAATTTAAAATCCACGGACTGACATGGGTTAAATTTATTTTTGTGCAGATCTATTTTCGAAATGTTTTATGTTTTGAGTAGTGGCTATTTAGACTTTTATTACCCGACTGCCAAGGAAGGGTTATGTTTTTCGCACGTATCTTATGTTCATGTAATATTCTTTATTACATCATATCTTCCAAATAGCTGCACAGATTTATTTAATTACCATATCGTTAGATTCGTCTTGGTGATCCAAATTTCATTTATTAGGAGGTGAAAAAAACAACTAACGACTGTGAGACAATAAAAAAAAATTCAGTTTAAATCAGTTTAAAGTAAAAAATTTTTTTTTTGGATACTGCAATATGGGTATCAAATTAAAGGGCTCATCATGAGGGTTTTAAAATGGTAAATCATGACCAGATATTTAGTGCATTCCTTTTAAATTTTCCTTTTGCAGTCGGTTTTTTTATTTTTTAAACTATTATATAAAAGGGCATTTAAAAAGTATATCGGTGGGCTTGTTGGTGGTTAGTGACCCTGACAGCTTAGCCGGAGGCCGTGGGTTCGATGCCCAATCAAGCAAATAATTGTGTGTCGTCTATTTTATCTGTGATATGTATGTGTTTAGAAATATTTAAGTATGTTTTTCAGCAATTTGGTTACCATAGAACAGACTCTGCCCAGTTTGAGAATAGAATGCCGTGTGTGAGATGGGCAAAGTTAAGTTACATCTTAAGAAAACTATGGTATTTAAACCTCCTTTCTAAGGAGAGGCCTATGTCCAGCAGTGGACTGTTATAGGCTGTTGGTGGTGGTGTTATAGTTTAAAGTCCTCGTTTTATCAAATGATAAAACGAGGACTTTAAACCTTAAAGTAATAATAATTAATCGGCTTATCAATCAGATATTCAATTATTTTTATGACAAGTAACATGTATTCTTCGATAGATTTTTATACCACATCGGTGGCCAACAAGTTACCTATAAGCATTTAGAATTATAGTGACCGCTTGCGTTAGCAACCCACTTAAAAAACTCTGATACATTATAATTTTTAAATATTAGGATTTGTTTTGCCGCTAAAGCTTTAAGAAATGAACGCCACACGGTTGGCAATGCACATTTAACTCTTGAACTGCAGACCTGTGTCCATGGGCAGTATCATACATTCGTAGTAAAGTATTACGAAGACTAGCAGACTACCGATTCAACTTTCGTTAACAATCCGATATAATCACATTACAGTTAACGTTCGATATTTATACTTTACTACGAAAATACCTTTTATGACATTTGACATATTGACATATGACATATTGACATATGACATTTACGGATTTTTTATCACGAGTCTTCTGGTAAATTCGTAACAGTTATAAAGGTATCTATTTTCGTGGCAATTTGCCGCAAACGGTGATTAGTGCTCTATATAATTTGACATTGACAAATGAATGATTCGTCTGTTTCTAACCACAATACCAATGAGATACGTAAATAATGGACATGGTTTTATAACTAGATGCGTTTTATTGTAGATGTAATGGGGATTAATTTAGCTTTTAACGATTCACTGTTCAGTTATTGTGATGTTGTGGTGAAATAAGGTTGTCTTCATTGTTTTATTTAAAAAAAATGGACTAAGTAGCAATATGAAAACTTGAATTGTATATTTAGAGAACGCGTTCAACGATGTTGCCGTATAGTTTTATACCTTAAATACAGTAAAGTTTAAAAAAAGTGTACCAAAGATGTAGCTAAGCAGCACTTATTTTATTGATGCTTGGAATTTGATGATGTGTGATATGGTGGCTCCTTTTGAGAATTGATACTAATAAATATAGTGAAAAATAAGAAAACTCTTATAACTCGGTTCGACCGGAATGATACAATGGCCCCACAAAAAACTGGTGTTAAGTTGTGGAGGAATGGGTGTCATGTCCCTCCAACACAAAGGGAGGATCCTACGACCAGGCGAGGTGATCATGCCTGGCGAGCCGCGGCTCAACGGTTGTTGGATGTTGGGAAGCTGTATATAGGATTAGCAATTCTCATTCAGTAGTTACTCCGTATGATGGCGCTGTAGTATGTTTCTGTTTCTTTGTACGTGAGAGAAAATTTGGAGTGTGTTAATAAGAGAGGCCTATGTCCAGCAGTGGACTGCGATAGGCTGATGGTGATGATTAAAACAAGAGGTAAGTAAGAAAGGAAGGCAATGGTAAGAAGGAGATTTAGCTTTTACAGAGGGATTGGGGAACGTAAGCAATAACGCGACCACAGCAAGGGCGAATACCTGTAAGTCAAACTTGCTATTGCCGGAAATTCCGATTCTTCTAACAAACAATGAAACTTATATGGATGAAAAAAAATACCGTCACCAATGCCTTTTGAACAATTCCTGATAAGTTACAAAAAATCTTTGACAAACACTGACAGCGCCGTGGCAGTGCCAAACAGGTTTGAAGTAGAAATAATAACAGGCGCTGTATACGAATTAACCGTACCGAAATGTTATCTACACCTGCTAAGCTTCTGCGAAAAAAAAAATAGTGTCAAGTGATTTAGCCCGCGAATCTAAATATAGATATGGCTTAAAATTGTATAATACTCAGTTATGTGCCTAAACAAAACAATTGTGATTTTTAAATATTTGAAGCCCAGTAAGAGAGCAGCAGTTATGTTAAAATAACTATCGAGCGAAAAAAAAAATTAGTACTGAATGTGAGAATTTAGACGGAACCAGGACTTTCTCGTAATTTGAAAGAAAAAAGAATATTAGACGATATTTATGTAGGTACCTACTAGTAGGTACTCCAGGTATATTGAAATTGTTTAAATTACACTTTTTGTTTTTTTTTATTTAATTGAATTTTGTGGTCTTGTATAGTTAACAGTTGTTATTTTATCATTAGTGGACAACACGGATGGCGTAGTGGTTTAAGCGGTCACCTCGTCGCTTCCTACTGCGCTGGGTGTTGTGGGTTCGATCCCCACATGGGACAACACTTTGTGTGATCCACAAATTGTTGTTCTCAGTCTGGGTGTCCGTTTAATGTATGTTTGTAATGCGACACAGGATTTATTCCTAATGCGGGAGTAGTCTTTAATAAAGAAAGAAAGAAAAGAAACAATCCGAGCCCCTGAGTTTGAAATACGTGAATTTCGTATTCTTGTTACTATTTAAGCCGTGTTATGGTGTCATATGCTTGTCACACACTAGATGCGTACTGGTATTGTGTCTTCACGGGCAGCATTGGTCTTTGACTAGTTTTCGAACAGCCTAGTTTACAATCGGCCGGTCGTAAAGAATTTTCCATACTTAAGGAGGAAAGCATCAAGAACAAAAATTAACTTAGAATATTTAGGACAATTACTAATAGATGAATCCGTAACTTTGTCAAAAAGGCAGAAGACGCGCAATGCCTAAGATATAGGACTTATAATTGAGTAGTGCTAGTTCGAAACCCTCGCAGTTTACTATCCACGAGAAGCAATTCCTAACACAAACATTTTGCTAAGTTGGAGGGGTTAACTAGAATACTAGTAATGTGTGACCACCTTTACAATCGCCCTTTATACTACTATACATTAAATGGTTGAATATAGATTTTAATTAGAGAATATCACATGATGAGCAAATAAAACAAAACATAACGATATTTCATTTATTTCATTTTCTACTTACAACTAAAAAACAGAATTTACAACTGCTGCTGACTTTTGACTTTTGTTTTGTCTATGGGCACAGGGTGACAAGATGAAAAAAAGGATATTAACACAAAGGCCTTATATGAATGCAAATAAAAATTGGAGGTTTTTTTTTCTAAGTGCATAATTATCTTCTTTCTTTTAGAATGCATTTATCATATAAACATAATGCATAGGTCTTATAGCAACATAACATGAATGATGAGGTAAAACTTGAAGTTTGAAATAAGCGAAATCTATGTCCAAACTTATAGAGCCCAAACGTGTTCATTGACTGTGTATGCAGTAGTTAAACAGTGCTTTTCCTCTCTGGTACCCAGGGTTCAACCTTCGGTCTAGTGGTGGTGTAAGGTGTGTACTGTCCTGTAGTTCCAGACAAATTCTCCGTGAATTCTGCCATCCATGGGTAATTTGGGCGGGCGGGGTCCTGTAAAATCATAACATTTAATTATGAATTCCTGAACCACTATTTATTTTTGTTCTTATAAATGGATGGTAACCTCTACAGTTCATTGAACATATAAGGTTGTCGGATTTAAACCGACTAAAATGACAAGGTGTTTTTTTTACAGAGTATCAAAATCTGTGGACCCTGGCAAACAATAAGTTATCTGAAAGGCAGCTAAATATCGAGCTACCCTCAAACTCAAAGGTGGTTTACTGAGAACTGAGTTTGACACCTCACGTCCGTGTGGTGACGGATTAAGAATACAGAATGTCACCACCCCTATTCATTCCGTGGGTGTCGTAAGAGGTGACTAAGGAAGCAAACTACGCAGGACTACAGCACTGCAGAGAGAAGGAATACTTGAAACAAACCCTATACCAACCCGTCTGGCCAGCGTGGTATAGTAGGCCAAAACCTCCTTTCTAAGGAGAGGCCTATGTTCAGCAGTGGACTAGTAAAGGCTGTTGATGTGTGATGTGTGATGAGTTTGACAGAACTTGAGGACGGCAGATTAGGTGACTACATGCAGTCTTCTAATACTTCTGTTAGGGTGACCGATAACGCTATCTGTCACCAAGCTTTCGTGGTTCGCACACTTCAACATTCCGTGTATCCTCTATCAAGCCAATCAATGACCACTACTAGTTGGTTACATCATTACACGTTTAAATAAGATTGAAGATAGCATTAACTAATACTGAATGCGTCAAATTTTTTAGAAGCTTTAAAAAGAGAAAAAAAGTTCTGCTATAATTTGATTACACTCATGTTTTTTTTGGTATATTGGGGGCAAACAAGTAAACCAAAAATTGTTTAACACCGGTTTTCTGTGGTATCACTCTGGTCGAGCCAGCCCATTTGTGGTCATAGCATGACAACAGGTAAGTCTATTGTTGACATCAAGGCATTTTGAGAAATTATTGAGGTTAAAAGAAAAAATTGATTGAAAGAAAGGTTGCTTGAAGGGTAAGTCAAATGGAGGGAAAGGGATAATGCTTATGTGGATGACTATCCATGTGGTGAGGGATTAAGAATACGGAGTGTCACCACCCCTATAACGTGGGTGTCGTAAGAGCCGACTAAGGGAAGAAACTACGAGAAAACTTGATACAAACCCTATACCAACTCGTCTGGCCAGCATGGTATAGTAGGATAAAATCTTATTTCTAAGGAGAGGCCTATGTCATGTAGTAGACTATTAAAGACTTGATGATGATGATGAATTGGTAATGTAAGCAATAGCTTGAACAGGTCAGTCACATACCTGAAGCAGATTTTAGTTGATTCCAGGAGTGCAAACCCTCTTAAGAATCCAGTTCAGACTTTTGGATCTATTCCACGCCTATTTTCTTTCTAATGAAACTTCTTTGAAGAAAGAATTCTTACCTTGTGTGGTGGAAGATCACTCTTGTAATGGAGCCAGCCAAACCATTCAGCGGGAACCTAGAATGTAAATTACAAGTAAGTATTGTTAAAAGTTCAGATTTCCATATATGACAATTAGTTATTAGTTTCAGTTTACTCATCCGTGTGGTGATGGATTAAGAATAGAGAGTGTCACCCCGATTCATCCCGTGGGTATCGTAAGAGCCGACTAAGGAAGCAAACTACGCAGGACAACAGTACTGCAAAGAGTAGGTAAACTTGAAACAAACCCTATACCAACCCGTCTGGCCAGCGTGGTATAGTAGGCCTTAACCTCCTTCTAAGGAGAGGCCTATGTCCAGCAGTGGACTGTTAAAGGCTGTTGATGCTGTTGATGATGATAATGATGATGATGATGATATTGCAGATTATTCATAAGCGTGATGAAATGATTTTTAGTTCATATGATTAATCACAGGTGATTGCGATTTTTTCCCATGTAGGCATGGGATAAAATCGAAAAACCCTAACCTTTTTAAAGAGAGGCCTATGTCCAACAGTGGAATTTTATAGGTCAGTGATGTCATGTATTACAATGCCATGTTAAGTAAAACGAAATTACGAAAAAAATAAAAGCATTTATAAATAGATTTAGGTGTTCTTAGAACACCCTATTAAAGTTTTATCACAATCTGGTTGTTTGTTTGTCCTGTATGCATTGGCATACAGGACAAACAAACAAACATTGATTTTTATTTTTAGTTTATAGATCATATTGAAATAAAACTTATGATTATTATAAAGAGGCAGGCAGTTGAAACAACTGATAAAAACTGACTTTCTATGTACATGTCATTTGGAAGAGAATACCATAAATTGACATCTTGGAGCTCCAAAACACGGTTCAAATTGTGTTCATATTGGACCAGCAGTGTTCTCCAGTCTTTATTAATATAGAAGACTTACCTGACTGCCATCATAGTTCATGTTGTAGTTGTCGGAGTACTCCACCCAACGGTTCCTGCCGTAGAAGTAGCGAGGGTTCTCAAAATACTTGTTACCAAACTTATCTTCGCCTACTAGAGTGCCATCTTTCAATTCATCTTGCCTGTAAATGTTTATAAAATACTTAATTACTTTTCATAATATCAGCTTGTAAACACTTAAGTCCGTGTGGTGACGGATTAAGAATACAGAGTGTCACCACCTCTATACATCAGGTGGGTATCGTACGAGGCTACTAAGGGAGCAAACTACTCAGGACAACAGCACTGCAGAGAGAAGGAAAACTTGACACAAACCCTATACCAACTCATCTGGCCAGCGTGGTATAGTAGGCCAAAACCTCCTTCCTAAGGAGAGGCCTATGTGCAGCAGTGGACTAGTAAAGGCTGTTGATGTGTGATGTGATTTCGCTTTTATGGACTAATAATAATGATTATGATGACATTGTTGTGTAGTATTTTCTTTATTGAATGGTTAAGCAATGATAAAAAGAGAAAATCTAATTATTTTATAGGTTGATGGTTTTCTTAGGCCTTTCAATGGCAGTATTATTTGTTTACTACTCATTACTCAGTTTCACCTGCGCCTATGGTCACTGGTCTACTCTTAAGGGTCGCAGCACGATGTTTTGTACTCTATATAATGAATACTTACTAAATAGTCTTTAGATTTATACAAATCTATTTGATACTTTTAGGTTTTATCGTATTTAAATCGTATCGTATCAAATAAGTCCTTGGCTTTTTTATATATACAGCTTTAATAGCTCGATTTTTACGTTAGTAAAGTAAGTGTACAGGTACATGAGCCATGCAAAACATATTCCTAGACTTTTTATATTGGAATACCTAACCTGTAAATAATTATATAATACAGCTCACCTGTAAAGTTTATACAAAGATCCCCTTATACCACCATTCTGACGAATAATATTAAAAAAAGATGCAACTTTATCAAGGCCTAATATCTTTACTATAGACATTTTTTATAAACTCTAGAACGTACCCGAGAGTAAAATACTAAATATTTTCGATCTCGACTTGTCACTTTTGACAATTAATTGACAACTTACATTTGTGTTGCCAATAGTATAAAAAAATTTACATACATATTTAGGAATTTTCCAAATAAAAATCACCTACATTGTAACTTTTATTTCAAAGAGTACTACAACTTGTAGAAGCTTTATACTATCTAATGAAATCCGACTTGTTGTTTTGAAATAGTTACTTGGCTACAGTAAGTTATCCATATGCTGTCGGTAGGAGAATTAGTTGCTACCTCATTTCAACAATTACCATTTGTTATAAACAATCAAGAAAATAGGATTTGGAATTAACAAAGCAGTAATTAATTTCTGATTTCGATCTTTCCTAACTTCCAATTCTGCGATTTTAAATCTTATTCTCAACTGGTATTCTTTACTTGCTTAAATTTAAAGGTTACAGAAACATCATGACCTAATTTATATTGATATCTAGATCTGTTAGGTTTGTGAAGTCTGAATCTGAGGTATTAAGCAAGATACTAATAAAATTGTGTAATAGAGCTAACTAGGGTAAATTGAACTAAACATGAAATAAAAATCATTTAATTAAAGCTTAGTATTATTACAAATCAACCGTTTTCTTATTCTTCTTTTTCGTCTTATCTTTTTTACTTATCTTAGGCTCAACTACGATTTCTTCATCTTCAAGAATTGTTTCAATTGTACTGCAAGATTTTCTTTTAGATTTTTTTGCTTTTCTACTAACATTTTCTTCTTTTATTATACTGGTAACATCGTCATCAGGTACTTCTTCGTGATTTAAAAGCAAAGGCACTCCATTTGATTCAGCCAAAGTAGTATTACCAATAAAATTTTCTGTCTGTTGTTCATTACTATTACAGCGTTTTCGTTTCTTTTTTTTCTTTTTACGTTCTGAGACCTCAGACTCACCACTTAAATTCATTTCTTCAACCACTTTATCATCTTTAAATTTTTTAGCATGTGAATAACCACTGAACCTTGACTCTGTAAGCAACATAGCCTCTTGCTGAGCTATTCTAGCTAGTTTCCCAGTAGCTCGTAGACCATGTCGTGCTCCTCTGTAATATACAGAAATAATTACAAAAACATAAATACCAGTTACAGAATTAATGGATCCAAAACCTTTTTGAACTTTTTATGCTCAAATTCGATTAGTAGTAATGAAAGGATTATTTTGAAAGACATGTGAATGCCTGCAACAAATGGATAGTGCTATTTTGATCAAATACCATAGACACTAGCTACATCTCATAACAACTATGCCCCCAATTGCCATGACAAAACTTTTTTTTCTGAATATTTGGAATCATACAAAAAAAATGTCACTAATAATTATAATTCATCTTTTTCGTCATAAAGTATCACCTCATCAAATTAGAATTTTTATTAGTAAAAAGTTGGTTATAAGCAGTTGGTTACTCACTTATGAGCTGTCCTTCCTTCACAAGCCTTAAATAATTCCTCATCTGTCATTTTAAATACATCCTTCTTTACTTCTTCATCTTCCGACTCTGATTCTTTTACTTTCTCAACCTTACTTCCTCCATTAGTCAACACTGCAGTTCGTACAAAGTATTCAGAATATTGTTCTTCATTATCTCCTTCTTTGCTCTTCTGTTTCAGTTTCCATGTATTATTTGTTATGTGAAATTCATCTTTTGTTTTGATATATTTCGTTTTCTCATTTTTTTCTTCAACCTGAAAGATTTCAGAATTATATTAGTTATAAAATAAGTTTGAGTAGATTTTAAAAGTGAGATCTGCTTAAAGGTTTATAAATAGATTCCCCTAAGTTACAATAGAGATATGGGTTGATAGTTAGATGGTTCACTTCTTTCACTTGATTTAAATACTTCATGTGGATCCGTTGGTGTGAAGGATATAGACTTCAAGGGAGTGCTATTGGTTTTTGCTGGTCTTGCTAGATCTTGTTCCCGGAGACGCATTTTATTTATCACCCACCGGCGATTATGTCGGACTCGAACCAACTAAATAAGCACACGACACGCTGTCTCGGGTACCAGTAGCTAGGAAATCAGGTGTACCGTAAGAAGGCAATCCCTGCTCGACGCATTTGCAGGTGGAATTCCATGCAATCAAGGTACTAAGAGAGAGAATTCTGATGACTGCTACAAGATCACGCCAGGCATAATGCCAGCCTGTGAGTGTCGTGACCACATTGATGCCATCGCAGTGGAGACACTCAGGCTGTTTTGTTTCCCTGCTTGTTAGTCTAGTAGTCAGGGATCCTGATTACTTTGCTAAGGGTTGTGGGTACAATTCTTACCCAAGCTGTAAGCTTTTTTCTTGAACGAATATCTAAAGCGGCATCGCTAGGCTCGTATCAAATATAGTTAGGTAGAGGGGGTAACACAGCAGACAGTGGAGGTGAGCGCTGACGCGTCGCAAGAAGTACTCCCTAAACATATACCTGGGTCGCAAGTCCCAGGCGCTGTCAAAGTCGCATGTGTTGCTCCCATCTATCACGCGATGGACACAACACCCGCACGTTGAATCCATGGAATACTAAGTAATAGGTCTTGAGCATGCTCATTTGTCCTAGGCGACAATCAAACCACAAACTTTTTTCTTTTTTTTTTTTTAAACTCCCGCACTAGGAATAAATACTGTGGCGCGGGGGACTTTACAAACATACATGAAACGGACACAAACAACAATTTGTGGATCACACAAAGTGTTGTCCCATGTGGGGTTTGAACCCACAACATGCGGCGTCATAGGAAGCGGCGTGGCGACCGCTTCAACCACTACGCCATCCCTGCAGTCTACAAACTGAGGCTTGGTAGTAAGGATAGCTTCCCATAGTCTTTTTAAAAGTTTTCATAAAGAAAACTTTTAAAGCAATTTATTTTATATATTTCGGACAGTTAGCAATTTATTTTATATATTTCGGACAGCTGACACTACGCCATCTAGTTTCTAACTAAGACGAGCTTGTATTATAAAAGTTAAATTCACTAATAGAATACATACATAGTTTTTTTGTAAATACATACATATTATTGATAGAAAACACCCAAAATCCGAAAAAAATATTTGCAGATGATACAAACATTTGGTCCGACAAGGTAATCGAACCCAAGACCTCAGCACAGCAGTAGCATACACTACCACTACACCACGGAGGCAGTCAACATGTACATATGGGGCACCTCCTGTTGCAAATATGGCAGCCGCATATAGATAAAATAGAATCTAAGCTTTCAGCAATTATGAAAATACTTCGCGGTAACGTTCGCTGCTTTCCAAAATCCGTAAGATACATCATATATAATACAATGGTAAAACCTCATCTCGAATATTTAATAGAAGTTTGGGGAACAGCTGCTAAAAGTAACCTAAAAACATTGCAAATAGCTCAAAACAAAATGATTAAAATGCTCTTCCACTACAACTATCTAACTCCTACAAAAAAAATATACAAAGAAACACAATTGATGACTTTAGCTCAGATATATAAATACAATACATGTCTACTAGTACGAAAAATCTTAGACAAAAATATACATACTAAGCTAACATTTACAAAAAAAGGAAACACTCAAAAAAGAATAACAAGACGAAAAAATAATTTATGTTTAAGACACCCACGAACCAACTACGGAAAGAAAAATATTTTATATGAAGGAGCCCAACTATATAATAAATTACCAAATAACATGAAAGAAATACAATCAATCAACTTATTTAAAAAAACCCTTAAGTTCCACATCTTTAAAGAGTTCTCTAGTTTTTAGCATCGCGATTGTAATTATGATTGCATAATTACCCGCTTGCTATTAGACACCGATACGTAATGCGACCCGACCTTTGTATTTTCTTCTTAATGTACCCACATTTTAATTTTGGTTATGTGATTTTGTACAATGCTTGGTGACACCGTCAAATGCGCTCATAGATTATAAGTTTACTTTTAAGTTCATAATTTGTAAATCTCAATATAAGTGAATTGTATTCTTTTGAGTAATAAATATCTTAAACCAGAAACCAGAAATACCCAAAAAAACTGTGAATAAGTGATGATTATGATTTGGAGCTCACCTCAACATTGGCAGCAGCCTTATCATACAGAGCACTCCACCAGTGTTCATTGAATTCCGATGCAGGATCATGACCGATGCCAGCAGCACTACGCTTCAATTTAGGCTTCAAAGCTTCTGATATTCCATTCTCATATTTGCCCAAGCCTTTGCCTGAAAAAAAAATTCTCTGTGAATACTAAAAAAAATATTGGTCTATGCTGTGTTAGATGCAAGTTAGGTTCAGGTTTAGGATCATTTACTTCTCACAAAGAATAACATGGACTATTCACTTACATTAGAAAAAAAAAAACAATTACAGTTTCATAGTTAGCTGTGATACTGAAAAAAAAAGTAATTGAAACAAACTAAAAACAAACAATTTCTTACACAAATATAGTGAGGGTAACTTAAAAACATTATGAATTCCAAACATTTGTTCAACCACATTAGCAGTAAATACAGTGATTGAGCGTGCCTAGAAATAGAACTGTTTTGCACTAAAACAAAACAGATGTTATGTGTCGGATAAAACACACAGCGTTGAGATGAAGAAGCTGTCTGTGATCCTTGATTAATTTAAGTTCTACCCACCTTTATCTTAGATCTTCTTCACTCTTCGAGAAGTCTTCACTCACCTGCAAGCGACTTGCTGCAACGCTGTGTGTTTTATCCGACACATAACATCTGTTTTGTTTTAGTGCAAAACAGTTCTATTATGTGTCTTTCTAAAACACACAGCGTTGAGATGAAGATCTGTTTGTTATCTGCTGGTGAGAAATAAGAACAAGAAATACAAACGCTATGTGAATTGATATTGATGTATTTAATACTGACAACAATTATCATATGTAGCTGATTAAATTATTTTAGTATTACAGTGCTACTAAATATACATATTACTCATAATCAATCCGACAATAATTATTGAGCAAGTAATTAATAACTAAATATGACAGTATATACATCATAACCATCAACTTAATAGTTTAGATTGTGCATGTGACAATAAAAAATAGAATAATTATACTATAGAATTAATCTACGATTACACTGAAGAAAAATTAGATTGCAACAAGTCTTCAGACTGATGCACAGAACGATGAACAGGACGACAATAATGATTAGTGAAAGTGGAGATACTCCTCCAATTACCTCTGTCTAATATTTCCTGCAAGGGCCTGTCATTAAGCCAGCTCTTGGACGCGACGGCTGATCTTATGCTTCCAGGTGATGCATCTATGGAGGCTTCTTTGAAAATAGATCTTATCCATCCTGCTATGATGGTTCTTGAAGCAGGTCTAGGTACTCCTGACATTGTTATGAACAAACTATCGACCTGATTCCCCTCACCTCGTCTATTAAGAGAAATTTCCAACAATTCTTTAACATGATGTACAGGACATACTCTAAAGTTAGAATGTCGTGACAATAACCATCCAGATTGCTGATGGGTTCCAGTGTCAGTCTTTGAACCAAACTTAGGCCATAAAATAATCTTATCTTCCGATATTATTAAATTTTCTTTACAAATTAGTAGTAAGGTCAAGTCATGAATTCTACGTCCTGAAGCCAACAGTAATATTAGTGCAGTGCGCCTTGCTATGTCAAAATGAGTATTTACTCTGGTAGAGTTAAGTAACCAATCGAATAATAATTTTGTGTCCCAGATCGGTGATTTGTTTAACCTCGGTCTAGCAACACTAATGGCCTTTAATATTTGGTTGATGAAAAAATCTTTAGTATAATCCTCTGATGCTGAAGGCCTACAGTATGTAAGGATAGCAGACTTGTGCAAGAGGATGGTGTTATACGCAAATCCGTGATGCAGAAATAAATTAGCTAGGAACCAGGCGATGTCTGCTCCTTTTGGAGATCTAACACTAATGTTCCTCGCACTGCACCAACGTACCCACCTACTTATAGGAGCTTTGTAAGTAGACAAGGTAGACGAACGCCAACTACCTTGCAGCAGTTTTCGTTCATTATTATCCCAATCTGCTATTTGTTCAGACCACCCCCAACCATCCAAGCCTGGAGTTGCAAACGATCCACCTGTGGTGGGCTGAGACCCGTGGTCTGATCTATGAGTACCTTCCGCAGGTATGGGATTGTCATTGGCTCCGTCAAGGTTCGAGACCGTAGATCTGGCAGCCAAAAGCACTGGTTCCAATACGGTACTATGAGGATGTAATTGCCCCTCGCCATATTCAGGTAGGCAAGGACCCTGGGTATTAGATTGGGTGGTGGAAACACCCATGCCAGTTTGAAATTCCACTGGCGGCTGAAGGCGTCGCAAAAAAGTGCGGAGCCATCTTTTGAGTCTAAGGTGACATATAGACCGACAACAGCCGTCTCCTTTGTTGCGAATAGGTCTACCTCTGGCACGCCCCATCTTTTGAATATAGTCTCCACGGCCTGAGGCAAGAGGTGCCACTCTGGTATTGGTCGACCTCTTGATAGGTGGTCTGCGATTGTGTTTAACCTCCCTGGGAGGTAAGTTGCTGACAGCTGTATATGGAGCTGCTCGGTTAGGTTCAACAGCTTTGTGGTTAGATTCAACATTGCAATGGAGCGAGTGCCGCCTTGTTTGTTTATATGCGACACAATAGTCCTGTTGTCGGACTGTATCAGTATATGTGCGTTCCACAAAGAGTCTTTGTGCGATTGTATGGCAGCAAAGACAGCATACATCTCTTTTACATTCGAATGCCATGTCTTCTGAATCGAGGACCACTTGCCTGAAAGAAGACTGCCGTTCATGTGTGCACCCCACCCTGCATCTGCGGCATCTGTAGTTAGGTAATGAGTGACTTCTGTTCTTTTTAATGGGACAGAACTGTGATCTATAGTCTTTAGCCACCAGTTTAGATCTTCCACAATATTCGGGGGTAAAGGTATCCTTTCTCTTGGTCTGCCCTGTCTGAATCGTCTGAGAAAAATTTGGAAGTTGCGGCAATGCAATCTCCCTTTCAAGACCGCATGGTTCGCAAAGTTTAGTTGTCCCAAAAGACTTTGAGCCTGCTTTAGAGTGCAACTCCTTTGACACAACAACTTTACTAGAACCGACTTTATAACGCGTATCTTTTGTACTGGTAAATTTATTGTACTGTCTGCCGTGTTCCACAGTAAGCCTAGATATTCCAACTGTTGGACAGGCTTTAGAATCGACTTTTGGTGGTTGATATGCCAGCCTAAAGTCTGAAGGAATGACACAGTTTCCGCAACTTGTCTTTCCAAAACGGCACGATCCTGGTGTACTAAAAGGTAATCGTCTAAGTACACCAGAATTCTCAAACCTCGAGCACGAAGCACTTCTGCGATCCAATTTGAAAGGGCTGAAAAAATTTGCGGTGCCGAAGATAGGCCAAAGGGTAGTGCCGTCAACTGTAGAATTTCGTTGTTGTATATGATTCGTAAGAATCTTCTGTGTGTTTCCGCAATCGGTAAATGAAAATAAGCCTGCTGATGGTCTATCTTTGTAAGCCAGTCCTTGTTTTGTAGAAAATTCATAACATCTATTTGCGATATCAACTGAAAGGGCCTTGTAGTCACAAACCTGTTTAGACCCCTGAGGTCGAAAATTGGTCTTACTCCGCCATCCGGTTTTTTGACAAGAAACATCTTGGAAAAATAACCTGAATTGGTTACTGGAGGTCTTTCTAAAACCCTCTTTGACTTCAAGTCGTTGATTACACTTGTCATCTGACCAGTTGTAGGAGTCATGAATGCTTTTTGAATATGACTGTAAGGGTATTTTAGGGGGGGCTTGCACCTGAATGGTATACGGGTGTACGAAATTATTTTTAAAATGAACTGATTGGCTCCTAATGACCTCCAGGCCTCTAAATGGTCCCGGAGGCAGCCCCCCTTGAAGGAGTCACTTTTGTGGTGCTCTAGGAATCTGACTTGTTTCTGTGTTACGGCGACGAAACGTCTGGCTCCTTTTGTTAGAACTCGATTTATTAGATTTTTGTTGGGTGCGGTGGAATTTACTACGTGACGCATTTGTTTTCTTATTCTCTTTCATATCTGTATAATGATTACTATGCAAAGCAGATGAGCAAGGCTTATCCACTAAATATGTTGGGGTATTTAACCACATCTGAGTGCCTCCTAAGGACTGAATAATAGGGTGTAATTTTTCACGATCGAATAAATATTCTGAACTGGGGGGTACTTGTTGCAAAGTAACCTTAAGATTTGCATTATTAATCTCTTTTAAAATTCGATCTCTCCTAATATCAATACACTCTGCCCTCTTACCATAAATGATTTGCAATAACGTGTCCCACCTTTTATTAATCTCCGTCTGTGGCCCGAATATTTCAGTCACTTTGTTGAATAATGTACTAGGATTGAGACCCTGTGGGTTAGCAGCAGCCCAATTAACAAGATCTTGAAGACTCTTTTTCACTGACTGACGCTGTTCTAACACAGTATTAGTCAGGCCCGCCATCAAATTTTCAGTTGAATATAGATAATCTTTTTGTTTCTTAAAATGGCACAATTCTTCATTAACTTTAAGAGCTATAAAACCTGGTGTAGCAGAGCAAGAATGTAAAGCTCTTTTATACCTAATGGATTTCCAAGCATCAGTGCTGAATTTTTGTATATCTTCTAATTGGTTAAGGCGTTCCTTGTCAGCCGGGGGTGTTATTAAATTATTATTGCACTCGATAGAAGGTTCTCCAAGAGTGAGGTCACATGAAGATGATTGGCACGGGTTACGTAAAAAGGATTTATCCTTAGAATTGACAGTGTCTTTAGTTATAGCTTCGAGGCAAGTATTTAAATGGTAGGGTAGTTGTGTTAAATACTGCGAAATGTAAGAAACTTGACTTACCAAGGAATCCACACGTGGATCAGATTGATCATCTCGTTTGTACCTACGTCGAGGACGTTTATTAGGTGGTGGACTTGCGATTCCTTCCTCGTCTTCCGAAGACGAGGAATATGACGAAGTAATACCTCCGTCTGTTGGATTCGAGTCCCGAGTCATCTCTCGTTCTCCATCAGGAGTGACGTGATCTGACCCTTCACCTTTGCCGTCACTTGCCATTTCACACAACCGACTGTACTTTTATTTCGATAGAAACTTAAATTGCAGCTAAAGTTAGCCCGTTCCGCACAAAAATCACAAACGCTATGAGCTCGGATAGCTATCACCGCCACTTTTATGCATTCGTGAGGGCGCCTCTGGTGAGAAACAACGCGAACTAAACCGGTAAAACTACAAATAAAGGTGGGTAGAACTTAAATTAATCAAGGATCACAGACAGCTTCTTCATCTCAACGCTGTGTGTTTTAGAAAGACACATAATGTACAAATTTACTTTTACACATTTTGCATTATGAAAACTATTATCTGCTATCTATGGTAGTCAATTTAATTATAGAGGTAAATAAAATGTAAAGGTAAAATTTAAGTATATAGGTTAAAAGATCCTGTTTTGTTTCTTATTACATATACATGTGTTGTGTTTCTTAATAGTAAAGATGAATATCTGTGTCTATATATAATCTCTGCTTTGATTTTAAATAGTTCTAACGCAAAAGAAACCTGGAGGAGGCAAAAAGTAGCTGTAATATACCTGGTTATTCTATTCTATAGATTTACTTTATCAAGTCATAACATAACACTAATTCCTTAATAAGAAGAAAGAAAGATAAATAATCTTTAATATGAACAATGTGATCGTTTGAGCCTATATGTGTTTGTAGTTTTCTACAAGATAGGTTTTAAATCCTACCACCAAGTCTTTTTTCTTTCGATTAATCATGCACGTAATAATTAAAAAATATTAAAACACATACCATCGGACCAGCCGTATTTTTCCAATTGCTTGCGCGCAAAATCCATGTCACTTTAGCCAAGCTTTACTACATCCAGGGTTAAAAATAGTCTTCTAATTTGATATCAGCAACTTTTCATATTTTGAAAATATAACCTACAAATTCAAACAACACACGCTCTCTTGTCAGCTGACACAAACTGTCAAATAAAGTTTGTCTGAAATCTGAAACTCGTTAAAGTAATTGAATACTAATCTTTTGGTATTCATCATTTGCTGAGTTAAATAGCTACAGAATAGTAATCTGTAGCTATAATTGAGATGTGAGCAAAATCTAAGTGCTGAGAAACAATCCAATATTGTTCAAAAACCTTTACCGTGGGGTATCATGCTTTGGCACAATTTAGATTTAAGTTATATTTAATTGACCTAATTTACAATTGAACAAATAAATAACTTATTCAGATTTAATACATTTTCAATGTTTAGATGACTTATTATTCTTTTGTTCACAAAATACAATATGAACTATTTCGACTTGTAAAACTCACATAAGTAGGAGTGTATAACTAATATTTTTCACATAAAAAACTTTAAAATTTCAGCTTTAAAACACGCTACGCTGCCGTGCCGGTCTGTGGACACTTAAAGATGAGAAAATAGATTAGTTTTTGAATTAGCATAATCACTGAGCTCGGAATTAGTAGGTAGATAGTGATGGTAGAAGAATCAATGCTTTAATCTGAAAATAATTTAGATCGATGAATAGTAATAATAATAACTTCACACATCTCACACGGTCGTCTGGTCACCGACTACGCAGAATCTGTTCTATTGTAACCAGAAGGCCAATTCTCGTAATAAAAGTTCGGTCTCAATTCAAATCCGATCAACTTTAGATCTCACAACTGTCATAGAAGATATTTTCGATTTGAGACTGAACATTTATTACGAGAATTGACCTTCAGAAGGCCAAATACGGTCAACGTTGGATGTTTACTACTTTACTACGACAAAACCTTTAATGACAGTTGTGAGATTAGAAGTTGTTCGAACCCAAATTGAGACCGAACTTTTATTACGAGAATTGGCCTTCAGACTGCTGATAAACATACTTAAATATTTCTACGTACACATATATTGTAGGTAAATTGCACCCAGGCACAGAAAAAATGATTGTGCTCATCACAAAATTATTTGTCCTGGATGGGAATCGAACCCACGAACTCTGGAGTAGTCAGGGTGACTAATCACTTGTCCAACAGGTCGGTCAAATTATCGGTATGGTCAAACCTACTCTCCCAAGTATAGTGGTTGCTCCAGTTTTTTTTGTTTGAATAGAGACTTCAGTTATTACAGTTATCTTTTATGCCTTTAATATTGGCAATTTAGTCGATTTGTTGATTTATAAATGTAATTAAATAAGTAGGTACGCACAAAGTTTTATGAATGTAATAACGGTTGGTCTAGTGGACAGTGACCTTGACTGTTAAGCCGGAGTTAAGTGGGTTTGATTCTCACCCAGGACAAATAACTATGTGATGAGCATCGTGTGTTCTATCTGGAACCTTACCGGGGTTTGCGGAGGGTGGTGTGTCCGAATCGGACCGAAACCACCACTAAAACCACACGGTGTACCACCAGACTGATTAGGAGGGCTCCGGGAACTGCTGTTATTAAGACATCCGGACCCCTCCTAATCAGTCTGGTTACCATAGTACAGGCTTTGCCTTGTTTTAGATCAGACGCATCTATACCTAGAGTAAACAAGTGCACCTGTAAAATTAATGTCATATGTTTAGCAAATTAAACACCCAAATATTTATAACAATAACTTTTATATATAAAAACAATGGTAAAATATGTAATACGATTAACAATTTATAATTACTTATTCGATAATTTCATCAGACATTAATAGGAATGTATAAAAAAATTGTAACTATTGTAAAAAAAAAAAACAATCTATTTTTTTACAAAAACGTCATTTAGATCTGCTATAGTCGATTCATTCCCGCTGAAAAAAAAAAGAAAATCAAATTGGCATTTCGTAATATCTAATATAGAAATATCTCACTTCACGGTGGTTGTTGGTCGCACTCCTCCGTAACAGTTCGACCAATTTTAATAAAAAAAATTGTATACTTGGTAGAGAGAATAGGTTGTAAAGTATTTTTCGCCCTTCTAAAATATCCACTACAGAAAAATGACCACTAAATGGAAGTATCCACTAAATCAAAATGTCATCCGAATGAAAATATCTAGTAAATAAAAACGTCACTCGAATGAAATTAGCCACTAAATAAAAATGTCAGCCGAATGAAAATATCCACTAAAGAAAAATGACAACTAAATGGAAGTATCCACTAAATCAAAGTGTCCACTGAATCAAAATATTTTAATTTAGTACAAATAACAAGTATGGCTGATACAGTGAACATTTTCACACAATGGATACACAAAATGCAAAGACTAGACTATACACTCAATCCTTAACCTTCATGACCTCATACTGATATTGATAGTTAGGATCTCTTTTTGACCTTTCCAGGTACTGCTTTCCATGAGGGCCTCCGGATGTGTAGGAGTCCAGCATTGGATATTTCAAAAGCTCCGGTTTAAATTTCCTCAGGAAGTAGACCCAGCATCTTTCATGTTGCTCCGTAGCTTGACCGCTGAAAGAATTCCTGTATTATCATCATCATTGTCCTGTCCATTCCCCAATTTCATTTAAGCTCAAAAGTTAGTTGCAAAAGGTTTTATCTACGGTATATGGGGGTAAATGAAAGGACGGGTCACCTGATGGAAAGTGACTATCGGCACCTATGAGTACCTGCAACTCGAGAGACACTAGTGCGTTGCCGCCTTTTAAATGACCCCCCCTTCTACACCTAGGAGGGAATTCAGTCTACAGAACTTTGATATCTCCTAGTACTTGGGTTGTGGAGGTCTGATGGCAGTCTTGATGGCAGGTTGTCCGTGTGGTAACGAATTAGATTACAGAGTGTCATCACCTCTATTCATCCCGTCCCAAGAGCCGTCTGAAGGAGCAAACTAGCAATAGCACTGCAACGAGAAGCAACGAAGGAAAACTTGAAACAAAACCAACCCATCTGGCCAGCGTGGTATAGTAAGCCAGAAACCTCCTTGCTAAGGAGAGGCTTATGTCCAGCAGTGGGCTACTAAAGGCTGTTGATCGACGCAGTTGCTCCACTTAAAAACCAACGACTAAACTGAAAGCCAACGCCAACCTAGTATGCGAAAAAGGCTCGGTGGATGATGAGACAGACAGACAGAAAGTATTTAATTATAGTGGCAAAAGTTTGCCATCATAGATCGTGTTTCAAATGGAGTTCAAGAATTTGAAGTTTAGCACGTAGCAGTCGTGGCCGAGTGGTTAAGGCGTCTGACTCGAAATCAGATTCCCTCTGGGAGCGTAGGTTCGAATCCTACCGGCTGCGAATATTTTCTTTTTACATATTCACCAGCTAGGTATTCTACAGGCAGCTAGTTCAACCTACGACACACTTTTCCAAAATTTTCTAGTTCATAGATATTTAATCTAGCAAGTTAAGTTTAGATTTTTATAATATACTTACTCCTTTACAATTAGGATGTCATCTTGTTCTCTCTCATAATAATTTGGATGATCCTCCAAAAGGTCCAGCCGGCCCAGCATGTCTTCATCTACGTTGTACACTTCACCTGAAAACGGTGACCAAGCAAATAACTGCAGTATCTCAAACAGAAGTTTTGCATCACCATCTAATTAGCTATTGTACAGTTATGTTAGTTACAAATAATTTTTTCCTTACAGCTAGCTAGCCTAGCTAGCACCTAGCTAGACGGTGTCTGTTCTGAGTTAGGCCCAAGGATCCACCACAATCGAAAGTAAAAGAGCTTGGTGGATGGTGGATCTCTGTTCTCTATCACACAAAGTGATGTGGAAAAATCCTTGCATTTAAATAATTTAAGCGTCAGGATCCAAAGAAACCATTGCGAAAAACAATTTTAAACGAAAGACAATATGTTTTTTAACAGTGTAAGTACGTTTCATTCGAGCAGTAACAATAAAAGACGGAATTCGCTTTGCGGATCTTTGGAATAAATAATAATGATAATAATAACTTCCGTCCGTCGATTCCAAATTAGCCACAGCCCGTTTTATGGTAACCAGACTGCTGATAAAGATACTTAAATATTTCTACTATGTATACATACATATAATAGATAAATTACACCCAGACCCAGAACAATTGATCGTGCTCATCACACAATTATTCGTCCTGGGTATGGTAATGTATGGTAATGTACCCCGAACCATCTTAGCAATCAGGTTCACTAACCACTAAAGCAACTGGTCCACCAGCTGAACGCAACTTACCTTTAACGAAGTGCCCATTGCCAGGGTCTTTCAATAGGAATGGTATGTTATATCGGGTGGCTATAATCAGGGGATATTTGGTGACAGTAGCGCCATACGCATGAAAACTGCTTTCCCCATTTTCCTTATTAGTTAGCCAATGGTGGTTTGGTTCATTTTGTTTCAAGGTACCGTAGACAAAGACTTTGTGAAACATCTGGAATAATATTAATAACTTTCGTCAGTTTCTTTTAATTCTTTCAAATGATTGTGTAATCAATTGTTTGTCATGTTCAATTCCTAAATCGATTGTGGAAAATTTTGCAAATGCCACCACTCCGCAGCCGCCATTTATTGACAGCTGATGATGTATGTAACTACGAGGGGTGATCAATAAGTAATGATAATCGAGTATTTCTAGAACGCACAAAAGCCCAAATTATTTTTTTTCTGCTTGCTTATATATCCACTACTTCAGCTTCAAAAAAATGTATAAATAGGACACCATTACCGGGAGATACATTCATTTGAATACGAACTGTCGAAAAGAAAACATCAAAATGGAGAAAAATGAAATAAGAGCTGTCATCAAGTACCTCTGCCTGAAAAAAATGTCTACCAAAGACATACACAGCGACTTAGAAGAAACATTGGGGGAGTCTGCTCCTCCATATTCCACAGTCGCACGCTGGGCAAAGGAATTTAAGCTGGGCAGAACCTCCACTGAAGATGAACATCGCGAGGGACGCCCTTCCACGTCCCTTACTGGAGAAAACGTCAAAAAAGTGGAAGATATCGTGTTGGCCGATCGAAGGGTGACCGTAAGGCATGTAGCTGAGGTCACAGGGATCTCCTATGGCAGCGTTCAAAAAATCATTGTCAACAAAATGCATATGAAAAAGGTCTCTGCGCGTTGGGTACCGAGAATGTTAACCGACGAGCAAAAAAAGAAACGAGTCGACATTTCGAGGGTGAATCTTCAAAAGTTCCAGGCCGATAAAGAATTTTTTTTGTCGCGTTTTGTGACCATGGACGAGACCTGGATCCACCACTTTGATCCCGAAACCAAACAACAATCAATGACTTGGAAACGAGCTTCCTCACCAACGCCGAAGAAATTCAAAGTGTCAAGTTCAGCGGGAAAGGTTATGGCGTCTGTTTTCTGGGATGCAGAAGGAATTATTATGGTGGAATATTTGGAAAAGGGGGCCACTATAACAGGCTCTTACTACGCAGGCCAAATAAGAAGATTGCGAGAAGCTATTAAGTCAAAAAGACGCGGTAAACTACGCGCTGGAGTGCTGTTTCACCAAGACAACGCCCCGGCTCACAAAGCCGCAGTTGCGATGGCTGCCATTGAAGAAACGGGGTTCGAACTGCTCGAACACCCTCCCTATTCGCCAGATCTAGCTCCCAGTGACTTCTACCTCTTTCCTCGGCTCAAAGAACACCTCCGGGGCAACAAATTTGAGGACAATAGTGAAGTGATGGCCGCAGTAGAGGCATTTTGGGAGGGTCAAGACAAAGAATTTTTTTCTAAGGGAATCATGGGCTTAGAAAAAAGATACACTAAATGTATTAACTTGCAAGGAGACTATGTTGAAAAATAAAATACTTTTTTTAATCTAATAGTTCTGTTTCATATTGATTATCATTACTTATTGATCACCCCTCGTACTGTAGAAGACTATAGCCCCCGGATCATTCAGGTTCCAAGAAATTATTGTTCCGTACGAAAGCTAGGTACAGCGGGTCTTGATTGATGTGTCACTATTTTCTTATCACGAATGGACTACTTATAATAGTTTCTAAGTATTTTGAAGTGTTTGCAATTTGTTATTCTTTTGTTTGCTTACATCTTAGTAGTCATGGTCATTTTCACTTGATAAGTTATTTTAAACGGGATATTTCTCATGTTTATTTTCGATTTTGTAATGACTTGACAGTAGTTCTGCACCCATTGAGCTCGAGTGACGGATTAAGAATACGGAATTTCACCACCCCTATTCATGCCGTGGGTGTCGTAAGAGCCGACTAAGGGAACAAATTACGCAGGAAAACAGCACTGCAAACTTGAAACAAACCCTATACCAACCCGTCTGGCCAGGGTGGTATAGTAGGCCAAACCCTCCTTTCTAAGGAGAGGCCTATGTGCACCCGTAGATTATTAAAGGCTGTTAATGTGATGTGATGTGTGCCATTTGTCATGGCTTGGCATGGGACCGATGGCGAAACCTTTACACCTATTATAAAATGTCTAATCTGGATCCTAGTGTCCTTAAATTAATTCGTCTTTTACCCATTCAGGGCATTATTTGGCAGCTTTTACAATGGTATATTTTAAATTGAATCTACTTGTTGTAGTGCAATATTTGTTTATTTATTTTATGTAAAACCTAACAGTTGCTCATTTATCTAATTATTTTTCTACTAATATCTATTTAGTACCAAACTCTACGAAATTACAATCAAATAAATACAAATCTTTGTAAGTAAATTGTATTACTTTTTTACTAAAAAAAATTACAAGTTTATTATACTGGTTTTACTATGAATATTGAATACCCTCAAAAACCATCCAGTTTCCGGAGCTTAATTAGTAATGTTCAAAGAGACTTCATAGTAAAAGGATGATAAGAAGAGAAAGAATACATGAAGAAGCATAAAACCAGTGTTAAGCCCTTTAAACACTTATCGGTTTTACCATTATTGTTAATCTATACAAATAAATAAAATTGAAGTGTCTTTTTGAAGTTTAAATTATAGGTTTTTTTTCATGCCCACACGGCATTATTTGCACGATTCCTATGCCTTAAATCTAGTTGAAATCTTTTTTGTCTATCAGATCTTTCAGGGTAATCTTCAAAATTTCAAATATTTCACTACCTGTCTATATAAGGAGTAAATAAGACTATTTTCCCTCTCAGAAAAACGTTTTTGAGAGCATCGGAGTTGACATCTGAAACTGGCCATTGATTTTTAAAGCTTTGATAAATTTATGTAGCGTTCCTAATTTCTTTAGTTTTTTTTAAATCCTGTTTTAGTATAAGAATACCTAGAGGATAAAAATAACAATATTATTTCTGTACACTAGTTGTAAGTCCTACATTTGGACATCATCTAATAAACGTTAAGAGCTAGAATAATCTTGCTAGCACTATTGGACAATCAAGCAAGACTGACAGAGACAGCAATTAGAAGATTGCAAATGCGTCTTCTAAGGAATACAAATTCAACCAATCCTAGCCAGGGCAGTCTATGGCACCCATCCATAGACTGACCTGGCTAGGATTGGTTAACTCATTTCTTAATACATTGAGACCCCTCCGTTCCTCGGAGAGCACGTTAAGCTTGTGGGTCCCGGTTGCCATATGAACTTCTATGGAGATCGGTTCCCGTAGTTGGAGCCTAAAAACTCCGACAAGTCTTTAACAGAACTTAGATCCTACTTGGGTTGTGGAGATCTATAGTAACTCTGCATAAAAAACCGAAATTCAGCCGTATCATAGTAGACTTAAGACCCACACCAACATAGTTTGGATAAACAGCTCAGAGGAAGGAAGAAGGTAATAGATGAAAGAGAAGAAACTTCATGTCTTATGTGGTGTTAAGCAGAGATTGGGGGATCTAAAGTTTTTACCACAAATAACGGATGTGGCATCTTTTTAGAAGCTGCTTTTACACACACTGTTTGATCCACAAATTGTTGTTCTGAGTGTCGGTGTTATTTGTGTCCGTTTCATATATGTTTGTGAAGCCCTATTCTTAATGCGGGAGGGATTTTTTAAGTTATGAATGCATAAAAAGACCTACAGATAAATGGAAATTTAGATATAGATGGCTAGATTTCAATTTATATGCATTCTGAAGTTGGTTGAATCAACAAGTCTTAGTCGGATTGCATAAATACCTTTACTCAAACGAGCAGACGAAACACCTGATGGTAAGTGAGAACCGCCGCCCAAGGATATTTAAGTCGTAAGTAAGTTTAACTACTAAATTTTTCTCGTTTATGACAGAAAGCAAACTAATACTACACAATACTACGTACGTATGTCTCGATTCTAAACTATAGTGACTTTATCCAAAAACTATTTCTTTGTCATTTAAAATTATCTTACAGATTTGGCTCTTATCGCTCCATAATTTAAAGTCTTAGGAACAAATAAAGTATTTAAAATTCCAATCATTTCTTTTTTAATTTAAATCAAAATAAATACTTTCCTCAGTTTTAAAAAATTTCGCCTGCCACAATAAATATTGTATTAAAATTTTTAAATATTTTTGTTTAATGACTTTAATGTCAACTTGAATTTTAGAATAATTGATGGGACATGACAATCATGACATGGGAGGAAGATGGAAGATGGGTAGAAGTACAGTCAGCATCACATAAATAGGTACAGATAAGAAGTCCTTTTATGGAATTGTCCTTAATAAATTAGATTACATTGTACTACATTAATAGAATATTAGTCTTTAATATTCTAATAAAATAAGTTTTAAAAATAATGAAGACAATCTTTTACCTTCTAATAGTACTTCTTGAAATTTGTTAATGGTACTTTTGTAGATATTTAACATATGTAAACGATCTAACTAAATATGTAAAACACTTTAAAAGTAATATTGTACAAATGTCACATTCACATCAACCGCATTAGCAGAAATTGGCAATTGATAAATAAAAGGACAAAAATAATCTTTCTACAAAAATAATTTACCATCTGGGGCGAATCTATCTTTTATTTCAGGGCGAGCTTTTTGTGTACTCAGGACTTACCTACCAGTTTCAATTTTATGGCCTATTTTAAATCGTACGAACTAGATTCTAGACTAGTTCACCCTTGTTTGTAACTAATTGATACAGTAATTCAATGATGTATGGTGAGTGGTCCATGTAACTGTGTCATCATTATACTAGTTAATCTACTACTTAATCTATATATCTTAAATTGCTGACTGTACCAAAATTTCGCCAATGATATCACGTCATTGTATACGGAGCATAAACTGTCAAAAGATTTTATGTAGAGCTGTGGTAGAGCCAAAGACAATTTAAAGAGATGTGAACACTACAGACAAAACAGTTGAGAGAGTAGGGATTAGGGAAAAAAAACAGAAAAATAAATAAAGATATTAGATAAATACCTACCGAAAATTAATAATCAGTCACATTGATACTCTTATAGAGAGTCTCAAACGATTTAAAAGAAAAGCCTTAGTGAAAAAGCACAATTAGGTTTCCAAAACTTAATAAAACTTTTCAATGTTACCTTTTCGTGAGTGAAAGTTTTATTTACATAACTATAAAAAATCTTCTTTCAAGTTTTGTCTGCAGTTATGAATTACTAGAAAAATCTGAAAGAAACGTCATAATGCAACTGGGCAAAGTTCATAACTGCGTCACAGTATATAAGCGACAAACTTGAACAACACTAGCTCAGTCGAAAATTTCTCGAACGGGAAAGTGTGTGCCGGCTTAAAATTAATTCTTAAAAAAAATGTTTAAGATGTGTTTTATTAACTTGTGACTGTGAAATTGGTTTTAACGTGAATATTGTATATTTTCTTACTGCTAAACGTTGAGCAAAGTTATTCAAGATGAGGTTGGCAGGGGCAATTTTCAGCAATGTTACGAAAATGCTTGATTTTTACTCACAGTTCAACCCTTCGCCGCTGTCTATAAAGCAATTTATAGATTTTGGTAAGTCTTATATTAGTAAATTTATTATTTGTTGTAAACAAGACTGGTTTTACGTCATGTCAAGGTCAAAATTAACCTTTTTTGTAAATTGACCTTAATATTATTGTTTATTATGTTGTACTAAGTTAAGTAACATTCAAATGTGTCTCAATTACCTATTACTTCAATTCGCACTTGAATGACTTTTAGTTGTATATTATATTTTTATTTTTTTGAGTGACATGACATGTTTTGCTTTTGATACAAATTTTTTTCATTCAATTACCAAAGACTACAATTACTCTTTTTTTTTTAATTGTTTTGTGGTAATTCGACATTTTCTTCTTATTTCAATTTTTTTTCTATTTATTTTCAAAACTTTTGACAAAGATGAATGATGAATGAAAAAATTTGGGTACTTTTAAATATAAAACTTATACTTAATACATATATAAAAGGATCAGAAAATTATTAATATTTTATTAAGTAAATGGTTGATAATTGATCTATATTGATTATTATTAGTTAATTACAGAAATTTATTTCATTATACCATGATTGTATAAAATTTAATTATTTATAAAAATAATGTAGGAAAACAAAAGATTTGTTTGTAGCTTTTACTTGTAGCTTTGCTGACCATTTCAGGGAAATAAGTATTTCTGATAAAACTTTTGGATGAAAGGTATAATCCTATATCCTTCTTTGTATCCATGGCTATAATTTCAGTATGATCCAATAAAAGGCAATGGATCCAAAAAACATACCTATACTGTTTCAAGAAGCAACATAAATAAAAATGATTAGAAATGCTAACAAACATACATACAGTTCCTTCATATATCATTGTCTAAAATTCAAAGCTTTTTAAATTTCACAATTAGTTTCTTTTGAATAAACATAAAAACAAGACATTAAGTGAAATCTTTTTCTTCACACTTTTAAAGTAATAAGAAAAAGATAAAATAATAGTAAAAGATAGAATACATGTTTAAGAAAAAATAATAGATATAAATTACATACTAAGACTTACCAGCCATAATAAATAGAATTTCTTTAACATGAGATTACTTTGACTTGAAACTTTATTCAAAATTTGAATTTAATTAAGGAATTAGGATGAGAGCTAAGTTAAGGGACACTATAATGGAAAATGAAATAGGACTGAACGGGCAGGAGTGACATCCATCCTATAATTCCAGAGGCTATTAGGACTCCCCGAGCTGCGTTATAGTCATATATTGATATTTAAAACATTGTTACTGAACTTTATTCGGTGATTTAAGAAATGGTTTGCACTTAGCACTATATGTTATACCCATTATAAGTAGTTTTCCTGTCATGAGTTTTCTTATAAAGTCCCCCGTGACATAGGATATATTCCTAAAGCGGGAGTTATTTTTTAAAACAAGAAATATAAAAAAAAGATATTCAAAACTAAAAAAAAAAGCCGTTGCCACATGCGGACTTGCACGAGCAAAAACATGCTCACGAGATAAAAAACTGAACGGTAACATCTAGTTACACCTTAAAAATGAACAAGCAAATAAATTACGCGTGCATCTTGGGCGACTATTAAAATAACTCCTAAAATAACAGACCTAACTAAATAGTTCGACTGCACGGATGGCGAAGGGGTTTAAGGGGTACGCTGCGTGTTGTGAGTTCGATCTCCGCATGGGACGACACTTTGTGTGCTCCACAAATAGTTGTTCTGAGTCTGTGTGTTCTTTGTGTTCGTTTCATGGACACAAAGAACACAAACAATACAAACGTAAAGTCCCTCGCGACACAGGATATGTTCCTAATGCGGGAGTTGTCTTTTTAAGAAAACAAATTCCCACTGCTGCAGTTGTCTATGCAAAAAGAAAATGCTTAGTTTGGATGATCTTAATGCTGTTCTTGGATTCGTTCGTCCTATTTAATGCGCTGCAAAGCACAAGATGTGGTTATTTACGTTCATGATAGTCACTTTCCATCAGGTGCGGATCACCTGATGGAAAGTCTTCCCCTCCCTCTAACATTGAAAAAAAAAGTTATTAACGTTTTATACAGAAAAAATATACAATGCCGGGCTTAATGTCAAGGGCATTCTTCGCGATTCTAGTATATTTATTATTTTAGTCGGTTACATTTCAACAAATCGCCTCACCGCAAACTGGAGTTGCCAGAGGACCGGCCAATCCGGTAAAGTCCCAGAATTTTGCTTTTTGTTCTTTGCGAGACTAGACTACACTTTTTTAATAAAGGCATAGAGTTGCCTAGGCCCAAATCGCCCACTAGTATATGTATACTAGCTGACCCGCAAACGTTGTTTTGCCATATACATTATTTCAAATTTCTTTGTAAAAATATAATAATTGCTGGATGAAAAATAGATGGTGGCCGATTCTCAGGCCTACCCGATATGCACACAAAATTTTACGAAAATCGGTCGACCCGTTTGGGAGGTGTTCAACCGCGCACACCGAAAATATCCATTGGACGGAATGATGAAGAATGACGATGAAGGGATGAACCCAATTTTGACCCTTGATTTGACGCTAACCATCTGGTGGAGTGTGACAGTTAAACTATCTTCAAACAAGTGTTGAGTCTGACTTACCTCTGTTTTTAATCATTGCTTGTGTCACGTGGCTCGCTTTATTATCCGTACATAGGTCGTAGCCGACTTTTAACGGCTCCGATCCCACCCAACCAAAGTATAAGCATTTAAATATGGACTTAACATCGTGCTCTGTAGACGCACTTTACAGTAACAACTAACAACAGACAGCGCGCGGTCTGCTTATTTTGTACTATAAGCGGGAGCGGAGTCGTCGTCGGCTACGACCTTTTAGCCGGTAGAAGACCAGATTACGTAAAGGTTTAAGGGTTGAAAAGCGAGCGAGGTGAGTCTTTTAATTTCATTTCTCATTTATGAAAAGATTTAATCTCCATGTGGCAAAGTGGTTTGTGTTAATCTGAACAAGTAAGGTTCACCGATTAAAGAATTTTATCTACTTGTATGTATTTTGTATATAAATAACTAGCTGACTCTCGCAACTTCGTCTGCGTCTCTCAATAGTAATAAATTTTCTCCGTTTTTGAAACATTCTTCATTGGTGCTCCGCTCCTATTGGTCTTAGCGTGATGATATATAGCCTATAGCCTTCCTCGATAAATGGTCTATCTAACACTGAAAGAATTTTTCAAATCGGACCAGTAGTTCCTGAGATTAGCGCGTTCAAACAAACAAACAAACAAACTCTTCAGCTTTATAATATTAGTATAGATAATAATACCCTTACACATCTCACACACGGCCGTCTGATTCCAAATAAGGCAGAGCCTGTACTATGGTAACCAGACTGCTGATAAACATACTTATATATTTCTAAATACATACATATTATAGATAAATTACACCCAGACACAGAACAAAAGATCGTGCTCATTACACAAATATTTGTCCTAAGTGGGAATCGAACCCACGACCTCCGGCTTAGCAGTCAGGGTCACTAACTACTAGACTACTAGACCACTTATAAATGTCACATGTTAATATTTATTTATGGCTGTATATATTCATAGTTGTACCTGTTTATAAGCTGTTTCATAACTAATATCTCTGACTCGTAATAGATTAGACAGAATAATGCGTCATCTATTACGAATATGTGTGGTCCGTGTGGTGAAGGATTAAGAATACGGAGTATCACCACCCCTATTCATTCCGTGGGGACTAATCCCACCCACACACCCACCACTCCTGTACACCAGGATCCACAGCAGTGACCCACGAACACACCGAGTTATGACACTCGGGAAGTCCCAGGAAGAAATTAAACTGTCTTGGAAAATTCATTCCGTGGGTGTCGTAAAAGCCGACTAAAAAGGGAGCAAATTACGCAGGACAACAGCAATGCAAAGAGAAGGAAAACTTGACACAAATCCTGTATCAACCCGTCTGGCCAGCGTGGTATAGTAGGCCAAAACTTTCTAAGGATAGGCACAAGCCCAGCAGTGGAGTATTAAAGGCTGTTGTAAACACACGTGAGGTGTGAGGTGATGATATTATGTTCAAAGAAATGGTTGAATCTGATGCTGATATTGTTACTAATGCAAGATGTTTCTAGTCACGTACGCCAACAAAATCTTTGCCAGTATCCTACAGTAACGTGATAACGTTGACGGTTGTTTAACTTGATAGTATTGTGTTAGTTATGTGTTTGTTTATTATAAACATGTAGGTCAAGGAATTGATGATGGGCTAACAGATCTGTTGCAGTAGTGGTTTGTGATCCTGACTGCTTAGCCGGAAGTGCTGGGTTCGATTCTCACCTAGGACAAGTATTTGTGTGATGATCACGATCATTGGTTCTGTCTGGGTGTAATTTATCCATAACTGGCTGGTAAACGCTGCCTTAGTGGGTTCGATTCCCGGACTCACAAAATTTTAAAGGGTTTTCTGAGAGGGAAAATAGCCTAAGTTAATCCTTATACAGACAGCTACATGATAGTAAAATATTATCAAAATCGGGCCAGGTGTTAAGAAGATTACCCGGAACAAACAGACAGTCACAATTTTTAGGTATAGGTATCGTTCAAATAACATGTAAGCATAAAAAAATATACAAGTATGTTTATCAGAAATCTAGTACAGGCTCTGCTTAGTTTAGGATAAAACGACCGTGTTTGAGGCCTCCGTCCATTAGGATCTCCCGCCTATTTAGGCGGGGGATCGTAATTTATTTGGATTAAATATTTTATATGTCGGGTATTTACGTGTTACGTATTTTGACTCGCATAAAACCCTAAAGTGTCCCGATTCTGTCATGACTAATGTTTTTATCATTATTTATCTTTCGTCAGTCGTAAACAAGTTCAAAACAATTTGAGCATACACTAGTTTACGTCAATTAAATGACAAATATGTTTATTTGAGTTGTTACTTCTCGATTCTCTCGACGACGACGTGCAACGAGTTCTTGAGTGGAGACCGGGTCTCGGCAAACGCAGTGTAGCACGCCCATAGGCCA